TACTCAAGTGCCTGACACACAGTAGGTGCTCAGGCAAGAGGCGATGACTGATTCGCTTTTCATCACCCTGAACCCAAACTGGGACCCAATGCCCATCACCCTGACTTATTGCATTATTCATAGGAACTCTTACAAGTGTATAAAGATCAGATCCCATTTAGTTGAAAAGAACACAAATGCAAGAAAATGGGCTGACCTGGAAATCTAGACATATGGACCCATTTCCTGTGACTATTTCCTTCCAGGCCTCTGCCCACTGTGGGTGATGTTAGGACAGAGGCATTTCCTCTCTGGCCTCCCCAAAACTGGCTGAGACTAGTTAGCATGCGGGGCGGACTCCACCTCCAATGAGTAACCGGAGATCTAGAGCTCTAGCTTGACTGGGCGGAGCCAACGCCCTCCTGTCACCTCATCACCTCGGCCTAAACCCCGCCCTCCCTGTGAGAGGCCCGCTGAGGCCCCAGCCACACTACTATGTGGGAACAAAGCTGGCGTGGGCCAGCAACCACGTCCAGTCACAGAGTAGAAAGGCGTCTTCCAGAGGACACCAAGCAGCTTCCAAATGTTTACCATGAGCCACCATAAGAAATATGGTTGTGTGTGGGTGCAGCTGAACTTAAAATATCAGAAAGTAGTAACAACTTACAGCTGAGATGTCCTTTTTACTTTTTAAAGCCATTAGAGAAAAAGGCACTTGACAGTTTTGATCACCCACGTAGCAACGCGCCCCCCTCCAGCTCGGCAAAGCAAATGCAGTGTCCTGGGGTGACCCTCTGCCTCCCCCCCTCCCAGGTCATCCATTAACACTGCTTTGCTTCTTTTTAATCTTACCACCCACACATGCACCCCTACACACTACAGGTGAATTTCACCTGTTTGCATTTTATGAGTGGAATCATGAGAGCAACTCAAACACTGCACGTTTCTATCCTGCTTCCTTTGCTCAAAATTGTTTGCGAGATGCTTCGCTGCTCTTGCTTACAGCTGTGGCCCGTTTCCTTGTATTATACCCCATCACGTATTATCAACATACTGCAGTTGACTTATCCATTCTATTACTGATGGACACGGGTTCTTTCTAGCGTGGGGCCGCTCGACTAACGACGCCATGAACATTTGTGTCCAGGTCTCCTGCCGCGCTCGGGCCCGCATCAGGGTGTCGCGGACAAGTGGAATTGCTGGTGACGGGATATACTGAACTTCACTAGATATTCTACTGACAAACAGCTTTCCAGTGGTTGTAGCAATAAACAAACTAAAGAAACAAATAAACAGAATAAAAATTAAACCAAACAGTGGTTTTACCAATTTACACTCGGCTAGCAGCTTATGAAGGTGTACATTGCCCCCCATCCTTACCCACTCTTACTCATGTTGGGACTTACATCTCTGGGGTCCAAATGGTATCCCATTTGTATTTCCCTTATAGAGATTAAACTCCTTTCCACATGTTTATTGTCATTTACATTTCCTTTTTTATAAAAAGTCTGTTAATCTTTCACCATTATTTTTTTTTAAGAGAACGCACGCACCAGTGGGTGGGGGGCAGAGGGAGAGAGAGAATCTCAAGCAGACACCCCGCTGAGCACAGAGCCTGACATGGGGCTACATCCCACGACCCTGAGATCATGACATGAGCCCAAACCAAGACTCAGACACTTAACAGACAGAGTCACCCAGGTGCTCCTCACCCATTTTTTAATTAATTTTTCTTATTGATTCGTACAAGCTCCTTACATATTCTGCACTTCTGTCAACTGTATGTCTTCTCCCACTCCCAACAACAAAAAGTCCCAAACAAAATGTTAGCAAATCAAACCCAGCAATGTATATATGGAATAAAATATCATGACCAAGTTGAGATGATCTGAAACATTCAAGGTTACTTTAACACTAGAAAATCAGTGTAATCCACTTATTAGATTAAAAGAGAAAAATCAAATAATCATCTCAGTGCAAAAAGGGCATTTGATAAAATTCTACTTCCTTTCATTAAAACACACACACACGCACAAACCTAACAAACTAGGAATACAAGGGAACGTTCTTCTGATAAAGGGTAGTCTCCAAGAACCTCCACCCTGAGCCACACTCAACAGTGGAGGTGGGAAAACCTTCACGCTGAGACCGGGAACAGGTGAGGGTGCGCAGGACGCCCGTGTGTCCTCCGTCAGAGCAGAGGCGCTCAGGCTATGAGGCGAGAGAATGGAAGAACGACTGGACAGAATGAGGGTAGGCCTGGGAAGAAGCAAAGCGGCATCACTCACAGACCATATGATTGTCCAGGTCAGAAATTCAAACCAATCTACAGATAAAGAACAAGAAATAATGAAGCTGAGCAAGGCAGCCGAACACAAAATCAGTGTTTAAAGACTGTCTTCCCAGCAACAAACAACTTGCAAGTGGGACTTAAAAGGGATCATGATGGCATCAAAAAGTGAAATATCTAGGAATATATCTAACATGCTTAAGATCCTATGGAGAAAACTAGTAAACGTTGAGAGACTTTTTAATCGATGTATGCCTAGCAGATTGGAGGAGTAAACATTGAGAAGGTGCCAACTCTCCCCAGGCAATCCCAGCACCCACGTTTGAAGGTTTCTGGGAAGAACTGGACGAGCTAATTCTAAGATTCACTTGGAAATACAGAGAACCAATCGAGAGACTTTTTCCTCGTGTTTTCATGCTGGTTATGAGCCTCTACACTGACTTCATCGGCAGGGGTGGACTGCAGCCCTCAGTTCAAACACCACCGAGCCAGTTCAACACCTGACCCCCCTCCCCCCCACACACACGCTTCAGGGCTTTTGTTTGAAAACACACTCAGGGCGGAATGGACATCCTTGTGTATCAGCTCTAAGATCTCCAGCAGCTTTCTGAGGGACCGAGTCCTGTCCTGTCCCTACTTTACAGGGAAGAGAGGCTCAGAAAGGACAGAACTCAAAGTTCCAGTGGAACTGAAGTCAGGGTTAGGAGTGCAACCCAGGTCTTCAAAAATCCCATGCCAGGCTGAAAAAGCCACCTGCACAGGGTCTGAAGGCTTCCGGATTCCCCTTGGAGTCAAAGGAGCAGAGGAGTTTGGCTGGGAGCGTTGGGCCTTACCCAGCTCCCTGAACTCCAGGAGAAGCTCGAAGGGACCCAGCATCCCAACAGACCTGCAGGTGCCTGGAGCATCAGGTGGGACTTACGGAGCAACTGAGAGCGCTACAGTACGCCCCCTCGGTGGGAGCAAGGCAGGCTTGTAGAGCCAGATCGGACAATGGCTCGGTCATGTTCATTCTATAGACAGAAATCCATACTTGGCGGACTGTGTGCTAGGCGCTAGCCCAGGCACTGGGGATGCTCAGGTGAACCCACAAAAACCCCGCTCTCCTGAAGCGAACACTGGGGAGAGCTATATACAGATGTGACGTGAGGTGGTAGTGAGTACTCCAAAGGCAGATCGGCCCCAGGAAGGGCGGACCAGTGCGGGAAATTCGACCTGGTGTGCACACCTTCAGCCAGGCTGAGAAGGGGCCAGAGTTGAGACCTGGATGCGGAGCCTGGCCCAGAAAAAGCCAGAAGAGTGGCACAGCCAAAGAAATCACAGAGCAAAGTCCCTGAGGTAGAAACTGCTCGTGGCTTAATTTTTAAAACCCTACTACCCTTCATATACATTACCTTATCTCAACCTTACAGCAGAAAGAGCTGTACTTTATGGACAAGGGATGGGCTGGAGGGAAGAACATCTACTTCACGGGCAGTTCGGGCCCAGCGCCAAGAGAGCTCTGGGCCCCAAGGCAGTGCTTCTGCACTCCAGCCGCTGGGCGGTCTGGCCGGAAACTCTAGACTGGACCACAAGGTGCCCTCTCCTACAGAAAACACAGGTGGGAAAACCGAGGCCCCGGGGGAACCTACTCGAGCAGCAGTCACCCCACATCCAGGTGGCTGGTCTCCCAGAACCGGGCCCCCTACATCAACCTCGACTACTTTATTCCCACACGAGTCCCAGGAACCTGAAGCCTGGTTATGGCGAGGGGCTTCACAACTTACTGAGCCCTTCGGTTTCTGCTATGGAAACCTTCCCAGGTAGACGGGATGAGGGTCACGATCCCCAGGACCCAGAAGTTACCAGGGCCTCAGAAACCTGAAGCGACTGCCCTGGAAAGGGCAGGGCCTGACCCCCAAACCCCTAGCCCCCCAGCCCCCAGCCTCTAGGCTCAGAGCTCCCCGGCCCCCCGGCCCCCAGCCTCAAAGCTCCCCCGCCCCCCAGCCCCCAGCCTCAGGGCCCCCCGGCCCCCAGCCTCTAGGCTCAGAGCTCCCCCGGCCCCCCGGCCCCCAGCCTCTAGGCTCAGAGCTCCCCCGGCCCCTCGGCCCCCAGGCTCTGAGCTCCCCCGGCCCCCAGCCTCAGGGCCCCCCGGCCCCCAGCCTCTAGGCTCAGAGCTCCCCGGCTCCCCGGCCCCCAGCCTCAGAGCTCCCCCGGCCTCCCGGCCCCCAGCCTCAGGGCCCCCCGGCCCCCAGGCTCAGAGCCCCCCCAGCCCCCAGCCTCAGGGCCCCCCGGTCCCCCGGCCCCCAGCCTCTAGGCTCAGAGCTCCCCCGCCCCTCGGCCCCTCGGGGCCCCAGACCTCCGCCCCAAGAGCTCCCCAGCCCCAGAACCCCCTGGCCCACCAGGCCCCAGCCCCCGACCCCGACCCCCCAGTCCTCGGCCCGGACCCCGGCCGGGGCAGCGAAGACCGGGAGACCTCGCACGGGCGCGGGGAGGAGCCGCCCCAGCGAGCCGCGCACTCGGCCGGCCCGATGCAGGTAGCGCGCAATCCGGCGCCGCGCTTTCGCCACTGCTCTGGACAACCGTCCGAGAAAGCGAAGCTACACACGCCCTGTCCTCTGATTACGTCAGCTCCTCCCGGGCGAGGCCTCCGAACGCAGAAGGCTAGAGCCAAAACACTTCGGGGCGCCTCGAGCGGCCCAAAGAGTAGCGAATCTGCCGCCTCCGCTCGCCGGAAGTAGGGCCGCCCCTCGCCGGAAGTTGCGCTTCCGCCATTTTGTTGCCCGCCATGGCGGCCGTGTCGAGTTTGGGGCCGGGACGCGGCGCTTTTGACTGAGGGGGTAGGCCGGGCGGAGGCGTCGGGGACACCCGCGCGGCGCAGAAGAGGACCGGCCTGGACGCCGGGGACGCTGTCATGTACGGCGCGAGCGGAGGCCGTGCCAAAGCCGAGAGGAAAAGCGGCGCCAAAGAGGAGGCCGGGCCCGGCGGTGCCGGCGGTGGGGGAAACCGAGCGGAGCTGCTGGTCTTCGGCTATGCGTGCAAGCTGTTCCGGGACGACGAGCGGGCTCTGGCCCAGGAGCAGGGACAGCACCTCATCCCCTGGATGGGGGACCACAAGATCCTCATCGACAGGTCGGTTCCTCCCCCACCCGCCGGGCCTCCCTTCCCTCGCCCGCCTGATCTCGTCTCGTGTTGACTTGATGGCCAGGACTAGGAGGGGTTTTGTGGGGCCAGCGGGATCGGGGGCCCCTGCTCTGCCCTTACGCCCCCCGGCCCTGGAGGGAGGGGGACGGTGAAACCTGCCCTGAGGCGCCGGCTGGGGCTGGGGCCGCCGCGTCGCCGGAGGGATCGTCGCTGCCCCCGCGGCCCCTCGCGACCCCTCACGCCGGTCGCTGGCTCCAGGTGGCCGGTCCGCCTCTCCCGACCGGCGTTCCCGGGGGGTCGCGCGCTGCCCCCCTGCCCGCGGCGGTCCCGCAGCTCGGCGTGCTGGGCGGGCACCCCGAGACATCGCACGCTGAGGCCGCGCTCTTAGAAAACCTTTGGACCCCGAGAGTTAGCCCTGGAAGCCGTGTGCCCCGCGCCCTCCTGGTGGAGCGCCCCCACTTTGCGGCTGACATTTTGACCCCGGCAGAATCCGATTCAGACCCAGGCTGAATTTGCCCGTCAGTCGGAAGCCGGTTGGCCTGGGCAGACGCTGGCTCTGCTCCTAGAGGCGGTGCTCTTAGGGCTGGTTTCACGGTCCCCCGAAACCTAAGGGTGGAACTGGGATGCAGATGTGTTTCTTTTCAAGTCAAACCCGCTTTGGGTAATCGCCCTGGGGGTGTTCAGCCGCTTTGGGCAGAGGGGTCCGGGGGGCGGATTTCTAAAGGTGTTCGGTTTGAAAAGGACAGCATTACATGCTGTAGGTTGTTTGCTCCCGTGCCCTCCCGTATCTTCAGGCCCCTTTCCTTCTCCTTGGGGTCCTTGTTTGTTGCTCTGGTTTGTTTTTTTTTTGCCGGTTTGGCAACTCTGCTTCTGGGGCCCGGACTGAAAAGCTAACGATGACCAGCCATTTAACTGTGGAATAGTGTCTCCGAGTGAAGGAAGCCCGTCGTTTGATTAAAGCTGGATTCTGCAAAGCCCTGGGACATGACTGTAGGGATGACCTGTGAGCTGGCCAGAATGGACACATTCATGACCAAATAGGCCTTTTCCATCCCTGACGTTGCCGTTTGGAGTTAGAGCTAGAGAACAGTGACTCTGGAAGGGAGGGTTGCCAGAGCAGGTCTGGACCTGACGCTCCATGCTCTGCTCAAACGTGCTGTGCCTTTAAACCGTAGTTTCTATCAATCGATGTTGCCTGAGTTGTCAGGCAGCTTGCTTCTCCAAAGTGTTCCTTGTGATATTTATTATTAAAGTTCGGTAAGCGATGAAGTCTGAGCTCTTTACGCAGTTTTCCATATCATTCTGTACATGATTGGAGTGAGGTCTTCCAAAACTAATGGGGAGCAAACGCTACGCATGTACATGTATAATATTTTCAAATAATGATCTACATTTGTAAGTTAAGGAGGTTTACATCAAAAATAATTTTGAAATTTAATAAAGTGCAATAACTTGGCTCCTCTGGAATTTTGGCCTTTTTTCTTGTAAATGTCTTTTTTATTTAAGTAATTTTTGGTCCTCATTACAAAAGTCAGCATTAAAAAGTCAGGCAGACTTTTGTTTGTCTCTCTTTGTCTTTGCAAGCCTAAATCTGAGTGTTTCTAAATCACTCATTTATTATTTGATATTGCACATCGACAGCAGCTTCACTGAATCTTTATGTTAAAAGTATAGCAAAAAGTGCCTTTATTTCTAATTTGGCTAAAGTGCCTATTGGTCCATGCACGTAAACATGGATGTGTCTTAACGTATGTGATTTCCTGGGGGTATAAAGTTTAGAAGAAGATATTTATACTGCACCTGCTAATAGTTTTGCTCTGTTTCCAGTGAACCTCCTTAAACTGCACGTATATGTCACTGTTCCTATGTATGTGTGTCTCTCTATCACATAACCCAGCACTTATTTCCTCAGCCAAGTGGCTAGGGGGCGAGCCTAGCCAAGATTTTACCTCCAATGGACGCAAGTTTCTTTGGTGAAGATCTCTCCTGAGAGTTCGGGACTAGCAGAAAGAAGCGAGGAAATTTCGACCGTTGGGTTCTTACGGATAGGTATTTATGTATTCGGTTTGTGTGAATGTAAGCTATATTTGACTTTTCAGAAAAAAAATTTTTTTATTTTTATTTTTTTTTGCAAATGGCATTGAATGGTTGAGCAAACCATAAACGGTAAGCACTGCTAGTGAAGTGAGCACCATTTATGCTATTAAAGGGTTGTTTACCTTTAATTACAACTTTTGTCATATTATACAAAGGAATTTAGACTTTGTTACAGTAACTTGAGTTTTTAAAAGTAGGTGAGCTATGACTAGCCAAATTAAATATAAATCTGAGAAGATTTTTTATGTTTGTTTTAATATTTTTATTTCTTTGTTTTAATCGGTAAGTATGTATATAAAACATCACACACAAACCAACCTAGACATTAACTTCTTTCCATTGACCAGAGTGTTCATATTACAGATATGATGGGCGCGGTCACCTGCATGACCTTTCTGAGTACGATGCTGAGTATTCCACATGGAACCGAGATTACCAGCTCTCTGAAGAGGAGGCACGAATAGATGCCCTGTGTGATGAAGAGAGGTATTTAGCCTTGCATACGGACTTGCTTGAGGAGGAGGCAAGGCAAGGTACTGCTCAAGAAAAACTTACTTAAGCAACAAACTTTTTAAAATTTTTTAAGTATTTAAAATTTACTCCCATTCATTTTTTTATACTCACTCTTTCTGATATTATCTTGACAGTACCCAGTGGATTGGAAAAACAGGAGTCTTTGCGTTCTGAGAGGACCTCAGGATAGTTTATATATAGAGCCACAAAGAATTTTCCCAGCTTTTGAGGGCAGACTGGGATTTGAAAAAACAAAAACCAAACTCTTTAACTGTTCTTCTTTAACAGTATCGTATAAACTAAAATTGATGTTCTTGTCTTTGCCTTAACAATCTTTAATACAGTTCTTAATCCCCAAATTTCTCAGCAGGAAGAAATTTTCCACAAAAGACGTGTGTTCTGCTAACTGTGGTAAACATGTACTGGCAAGAGAGTCCATGTTATTAGATGTGAGGTGTGAATTTGTAAAAACACGTTTGCCTCAAAAAGAGGTTGAAAAAAGTGTGTTGTATGCTTTACTGATAGCTACAACTTTAGAAATATGTAAGATTTTTCTCAGTAAGTTTCCATTTTTGTTAATAAAATTCTCATTTTTATTCAAGAGGAAGAATACAAGCGATTGAGTGAAGCGCTGGCGGAGGATGGGAGCTATAACGCGGTGGGATTCACTTACGGCAGTGACTATTACGACCCGTCGGAGCCGACAGAGGAGGAGGAGCCCTCCAAACAGAGAGGTGAGGGGGGGCTGCCAGCGTGACACGCGGCTGGCGGCATCCCGCACACGTAGCAGCACGGCCTTCACGGTAGGGGCGTGGACGCTGAGTAACGGGAACCTCACCGTGACACAGACAGCGTTAGCGGAACTCCGTCTTAGGGTAGAACAAACTAGGAACGAGAAAATGGAGCGTTCCTGGAGGTGGAAACTGAATGCAGGCCCTTGTCTGCATTGGATCTAGATGCCTTCCACGTATTTCTCTTTGACTCGGGTAACTGGAATTACTCACTCTGGATCTTTGTTTCTTAAGTGATGGTACATGAGTTGATACACGTGGTGATTTGTTCTCACGGGCGAGTGTCACCTTACAGGATAGGCGTTAACTACCCTCGTGTGAACCTCCTGCTTCACATCTCCCCACAGCTAAAATAATGACAAGGCTCAGCAGGACGCCTGTGAAGTCACTTGCTGATCAACAGAGACGAGCCTGAGACCTCCCAGTTAGACTTGGTAGGACCCACAACACACACACCCGTGCGGTGTTGTGCAGTAATGTTTATATAAAATGGGAGATTTTAAGATCATACTCTTCTGGTTTAACTCTAGGAATTTTCAATATAAAAAAGTAGTGCCCCCAAAATATCTGGACTCGCGAGTGCAGGAACAGATATCCTCAGTCACTTTGGTAAGCCCTAGAGCACAGTTATTACAGCCTTGCATAGTAATCAGATGTTAACTATCAATAACGATAACACGAACTGGAAACTTCAAGGCTAGATCAGTATGTTCAGGACATTCTGTTTAAGGGGACGGAGAACTGTATGGGGCACCCGGCTGGCTCAGTCGTAGAGTATGTGACTCTCAGTCTCGGGGTCGTGAGTGCTAGCTCCACGTTGGGTGTGGAGCTTACTTTAAATAAATAAATAAAAATATTAAAGGGAAGGAGAACTCTAACTTTAGAAACTACACGAATGTTTAATGAAGTAGAATCACATCAGATAGGGATTTCGTTTCAGAGCTGACAGTTATTTGGGACTTAATTGGTTTCTCCTTCAGTTACAAACCTCCTGACAAGTCTGTAGTGGTTATGTCAGCTTGATGTTACAACGTGGTCCGCCCGGCCTGGTGCGGCCGCGTGGGGATCTCCTGCCCCCTTCATGGGCGGGGGTCGCCTTGACGGGATGTAGGGTGTCTTGCACAGGTGCTTCCTTGTTGCCCTTCCCCTCATCCTGCTCTTTACCTCGTGGGCAGCAGTCACTGTTGTCCAGCTGTGTCCTAGGGGCTTGCGAAGACTTTCTGCGAAGACTGTTCCGCTAAAGCCTCGTTACGGCGTTTCACGCCTTCAGAAGTTAGGACTAGTGGAGATGTTCTTGCAGGTCCAAGAAGTAAGCACTCATTCCTTTATCCACAGTGAGTTACTTCTGTTAGGGTTCTGGATAGTTGAGATTCTGTTGGTTTGTCCCCGAACTGCGTACATTATGTCTGCTTTAAATACGTCGTATTTTTGATCAGAAGGAAGGAGTACATACTATATAACTTCATACATGAGAATGGAAGTTTGTAAAGGCCCAATGTCTTTTGCAAGATCAAGAGGGACAACTTTGGAAAAATCCATAATATGAATTTCTTAACATTCTCGATTAGGGATCAGCCTCCTGCCACCACCGGCCCAACCACAGGTTGGTCTGAAGTTTCATGGGCGCTCAGCCACCCAGGCTTGTGGCAGCCTTTGTGGCTCAGTGGCAGAGTCGAGCAGTTGGCCCGCAGGCCGCGTGTGGCCAGAAATGCTTACCATCGGGCAACGTCCAGAAAGTTGCCGACCCCTGTTACGCGTGTCGGATATTGTCTCTGTGTAATTAAACTCCTTTACAATTACTGAATTTTAAGAATTTCAATGTGATTTAGTTTCTCTTCGAAGTTTTAGTGTGCTTTCTCTTTAAGTTCTCTTTTACTATTTTATAAATTTTTTTTATTTCTGTAATCACATTCTCAGGACTTTGCCTTATATGCTGATTACGTTTTTTTAAGATACGTTTATTTGAGAGAGAGTGCTAGAGCACGCACGTCCGGGAGGGGCCTAGGGACAGGAAGAATCTGCAGCAGACTCCTCGCTGAGCGTGGAGCCCAGTGCGGGGCCAGATCCCAGGACCTGAGGTCTGACCTGAGCTGAAATGAAGAGCCAGCGCTCAACCGACTAAGCCACACAGGCGCCCTGCGGATTAATTTTTTTAATGAAAGTCGGGCCCATGTGAAACTTACATCTTGGCTTTTTGTGCTTCGCTGATGCTAATGTAGGTAAAATGCCACTTGGTAGAATTCAGGTTGGTACCCAGTGCCACTGACAGGGAGGTTTTACTTCAGTGTTGCATTACTTAAAAAAAAAAAAAAAAAAAGGCTTTTTTGGTTTTCCAGTGCCATCAACGGGTTTAAATAATCCTTGATTTTCAAAGTTGCCATATTGTCCTGGCCTTTTGGAGCATTTTAAGCTTCATGCTGTGAGCGTCTTTGCGTCTTTGTGTCTGTGCGTCACCCCCTGTTCCTTCCACATGGAAGATTCTCATGATTTTCCTGTGGGTTTTTTTTTATCATTATTAAAGATCTTTTTTATGAAAAAAGAGGATTTGAATTTATTTGAATCTGAGTATTGTGATGGTTGTATTTTGTTCTGTGCTACTAAAGCTATTTTTCTGCAAATTAAGATGTGTGTAAGGACAGAGCAGCTCTGTGTAACCTCCGTGTTCCAAACAGCTCTTGATTTGGGCTCCTTTACTTCATGAGCAGTGGCACACGACGGCAAGGCTGTTTAAGAGAAAAATTTCCATCATTTTGTCATGTTAGGGAGACAGAGTAAACGTTGTACTTTGATAAGCACACCTTTGGCACCGTGCCCAAGGAGACTGTGAGATTTGAAGGTGCTACTTGACCTGTTGCAGACCAGGGTGTCCGGTGTCCTCCAGCCGCGCTGGGCCGTTTGGTCCCTGCTGCTGGGCAGGGGAGCTGCTGATCACAGGAAGCTGTCAGGCCCGAGTGAGTCTCTGGTTCTTGGGGGAGAATAAGGGTACGTAAGTAGAAACAGGCGGGACGGTGTTAAATAATTCTTACTTAGGAATTTGTAATCCACCTGGATCTCCTCAGACTAGAATACCCAGGTTTTTAGGTACGATGAAACCTGCTTACAGTTCCTCCTCGGCTTTGTAGAAGAATTAGGTTTGATAGAAAACATTCAAAATTGTTCATATCATCAGGAAACCACATGTGGTGGAAACATTGGCTTTGATGAAGATTTCATGTTTACTTAATGTTATTTTTTTGGACAGAAAACCTAGTAGGTATTAAAATCCTTTGTAATGTTAGCTTTGATAAGTTTTCTGTTAGGTTTTTGTACATTTCACTATGTCCTTTTTTTAAAAAGATTTTTATTTATTTGAGAGAGAGAGAGCATGAGGGGGGAGGGCTAGAGGGAGAAGCAGACGCCCCACTGAGCAGGGAGCCCAATGCGGGACTCAGTCCTGAGACTTAAGGATCATGACCCGAGCCAAAGGCAGTTGCCCAACCAACTGAGCCACCCAGGTGCCCTCACTGTGTTCTTTTAAGTAGGTGATCACCTGAGTGATTGCAAGGTACGCAGGTACCTTCTGATTCAGGAAATTTGTGACACTCAGTGGACAGAGCTGTTTGTAGATGGAAATGGGAAAGTCAGGGAGGTCATTTGCGTGGGTGGAGAAGTCTTGGCAGTTACACTTTAGGGCTTTACGACTCGGTGGTGAAATCATCCCGCCGTCTGGGCATTGAATACCTGTGTTGTGCCTGCCTCCCTGGGGTTCCTGCAGAAAGAGCTCGGACGGGGTCCTAGTGCCAGTTAAACACACACACACATCACAGAGCTGGGAGCGGTCTGAGTGCCCGCTAAGCAGGGCGCGTTATGGGGAGACGCCCACTGCCAGGTCTCCAGGAGAGGTCAGTGCCCAGCAGCCTCCTCTGGGGGGTTGGTAACATAACCCGACTGGTGCATGCTGGAGCGGAAGAGGAGACGGGAAGGTGTTTCTAGAGGTGGTGATGGGAAGGTGAAGAACCAGGGAACGCCACTCGCGGCGGTCCCCCCACTGTTGCTTACTGTTGGTGGCCGCCTTCCTTCCTGGTCATTGTTCTGAAGTTTTATATTTTCTTTTTATACAGAAAAAAATGAGGCTGAAAACATAGAGGAAAACGAGGAGCCTTTCATTGCCCCTCTGGGGCTGAACGTGCCGCCTGACGTGGAGCTGGTACGTGTGCTTCGTGTTCACGATACTGCCCATTGTTATCAGCGTGGGTTGGGAGCACCGGGTAGCCTGGCGTAGCCATGACGGCCCTGTAAGTTCGTAATACTTTCTACTCATCTGTGAGTTCATGGAGCCAAAACCACACCCCACCTGTTCTCCTCCAAAGAAAAAGGGAGGAATTCCAGCAGAATCCCTAGACCAGAGCATCAGAGATTTGAGGAGCTGGCTCTCGGAGGTCACAGAGTTGAGCCCCCACGTTTACCAGCATGGAGAAACCGAGTCAGTGAGCGGTGAGGGAGCTGCTGGTACCCTGTTAGCCACGTTTAGACATAAGAACAGTCTCAATCGTGGCAGCGTGGCTTGCAGGGAAGTGGCTTTGTCCTGGCTTTGGCGGGCACTTAAGGGAAATGTCTTTACCTTACCTTGCTGCTCTTGCACCCGGGCTTCCTGTCCCTTGTGATGAAGGCCCGGTGGCATCTCCAGGCCGCCTGGCACTCAGGAGGAAAACCTGGGTGGGACTCCTCTTGGCCTGAGTGCTCTGCAGCTCGAGCCTGGCAGAGCTGAGTGGTTCACCCTCCCTTCACGCCGCTATTCCAGCTGCATCTTGTGAGGTTCAGGCTGAGCTGCAGTGGGTGTCCCTGGGGGCCTCCTGCGCTCCCAGCGCTGTCCTGGAATGCCGACAGCCCCGTACACCAGCTTCTGTGCCCGTCCTCCTTCCACAGGAGGAGAAGACCGTGGCCGTGCGGGTGGTGGGCCGGAGCGGTTGGAGCGTTGCATGTGCACGCTCGGCGGGGAGGGGTGGAAATTGGTGCTCGGTGTGGTTTTTCCTGACTGGATTTCTAGCGCCGTGGACACAGGTGTCCTAGGTTCTTCTTGTGCCCTGGGTTCTGAGCCTCTGGGTGCACAGGGGGCCAAACTGTTCGTGGAAGGTTCTGGCCCCTGTTTTCATGTGTCGATGGCAGGCGGCAGAGCCTCCACCCCGTCCCTTACTGCATTTACACACTCACACCCTCTCCTTCCTTCGCTTTCTCAGTGTTTGTGCAAGTAGGAGTAAAAATGTGGATTTTGCTGAGTGGAATTACTGCTTATGTTTGCTTCCCCGTTTCCAGCATTCATTTAAAGCTGAAAGTGTCATTTGAACGTTTGATGTTCTAAGACTTGTGTTAATATGCTTTCTGTGTATTGTTCTGGATTATCTTCGTACTTGTTCTGGAACGTGCTATTTATTCTACGTGAAAGACCCATTAAAAATGGGTTGCTCCCGGGACGCCTGGGTGGCTCAGTCGATTAAGCGTCTCCCTTCAGCTCAGGTCATGATCCCAGAGTCCTGGGATCGAGTCCCACATCGGGCTCCCTGCTCTGCGGGGAGCCTGCTTCTCCCTCTGACTCTGCCTCTCTCTCTCTCTCTATCTTTCATGAATAAATAAATAAAATCTTTAAAAAAAAAAACGGGTTGCTCCCTTACCTATGTTTAATGCTGAAAGCTTTTATTTAAGGTTGACTATGTGGAATTTTATTTATTTTCATGTGAAAAATTATTTTTAAACTATTATGCAAATATAAACGTGGAAGTATAATAGATTTTATTGTGTTGTTTACTTTTTTTAAAAATATTTAATGGCTGTGTATTCTCAGCCAGAGTAAGCATCACTAAGCTATTTAATGGTCTGCCGGAGCTAAAAATAGTCGATAACCGTTGGAGAGCAGAATAGTAATTTGCTTTCTTTTTTTTTTTTTTAAAGATTTTATTTATTTATTCATGAGAGACAGAGAGAGAGAGAGAGAGAGAAGCAGAGGGAGAAGCAGGCTCCCAAGGAGCAGGGAGCCCGATGCGGGACTCGATCCCAGGACACTGGGATCGTGACCTGAGCCGAAGGCAGACGCTTAACTGTCTGAGCCACACAGGCGCCCTAGTAATTTGCTTTCTTAATGTTAAAGAGTTTCTTGTGATATTGTAGAGCGGCCTCTTGAGTAGGAAATGGTTTGATTCTGTGGAAACCGTGTCTGAATGCTGTCGGGGCGCTGCCGGACAGGGTTCCCTGCGTCCTGGTGTCAGGAGTTGGGGGCAGCAGTTCGTGGTCTGCAACTCGCACTGCAATGTCCCTGGGGGGTGGGGTGTGAAACGGGGTGCTTGCAGCGGGACTTGCGGTCTGTAGGTTGGGGGGGCATGCTGCCTCCATGCGGCAGGGCTGCCCCCACTCGGTAAAGAAAGCAGGCACTCAAGGGCGCCTGGGTGGCTCAGCCGTTAAGCGTCTGCCTTCGGCTCAGGTCATGGTCCCAGGGTCCTGGGATGGAGCCCCACGTCGCTTCTCCCTCTCCACTCCCCCTGCTTGTGTTCCCTCTCTCGCTGTGTCTCTGTCAAATAAATAAAATCTTGAAAAAAAAAAGAAAGGCACTCAAGGGTTCTTGAGTGTAAACTGGGCTTTTGGATTAGAGTCTAATGATTATAGGGTCTGTGGGGTTTGTGTGAAGAGTAAGGAGTAGTTAGAAGTCGTGGCCCTCGGGGAGGCAGATGTTGGCAGGTAGTCGAGACGGGCCGAGGCTGGTGCTGTCCTTGACAACGCCACGGTGGCCCTCCTGGCTCCATAGCCCACGGGCCCCCTAAAGTGACCTCACAGTTTTGTTTTAGCTTTTCATAGTGATTCTGTGTGTTTTCTTGTGTTTCTCCCTGGATATGTGGCCTGGTGCCATTTGTCCCAACGTTGTGTTTTCAGCCACCTGTCCCCTTCTCGGGGACCTGGCTGCCCGTCTTGGTCACCTCCTGAGCTCTGCACGCGCCCGGTCCCGGTTCTGGGTGTGCCCTGCTCTGTGCCTGCTTGTGTGGGGTCGTGTTGGTGCCCCACGCCTGGCACACACCTGGAGCACGGCTGGGAAAGTGGAGGGCGCATCCCTGGGGTCAGCCCCAGGGACTGGGAGTGCCGCTGCCCCACAGACCCCAGTAGAAGTTATTGCTAAGGGAAGCACGATCCTTTGAACACACTTTATGAACCAGAGGACGAGCAGGGAAGGGTTCAGTGTGGGATCGCCATGGTGCGCGGCATTTCTGTCCCTTGGAGTAGGAACACCGCGGTGACGTGTGCCGACCGCGTGCTGTGTACCAGGCACCACACGCCGTGAGTGGCTCCCGTCCCCAGGCCTCACAGCACCAGGGCGTGGGGAGCAGATGCCCTTGTCAGCCCGAGTGCGCAGGGCACCTGGAGGTCTAGGGAGGCCAGAGCAGCTGCCGCAAGGGAGGCACGTGAGGGTCAGGCCTGCAGCCCCGGGCCCGGCTCCAGAGCTCTGCGCCTCGGACTGAGGCCCCACTGATTGTTCGGATTAGAGTGTTATTGTCATCATAATTCAGGGGTTCTGTTGCCATGGGATGGGGATGGGAAGCATCCTGTGGCGTTCTTGCCTTTTCTTTGGGATTTTAAGCACCGTTCACGTGTGGCGAGCGTGCCCCATGTGGGCCGTGCATGCGTGTTCTCCAGGTACCTTGTCTCCCAACCTCTCTTTCCTTGCAGAATGTAGATCGCACGTATCACTAGATCCCATTGTAGCACCAGGATTTTGAATTTTATTTTGAAGTCCCTTCCCACCCCCTAAGATTTTAAAAATATTATCCTGTTTCCTACCGTTGCATTTATAGTTTTTTGGATTTTTTTTACAGTTGAATTGTGACTTGATGTGATATTTATTTTGGGCTGTGAGTGAAGTGGGCATTTAATTTTTCCTCCCCTGATCGTAGCAGAGGAGAGGGCCAGCCCAGCTGCTACGGGGGCTCCTCACTTTTCACTCTGCCTTCCATTCCCGTGCCACCCCGTCCTGGTCCCCCTGCTTCGGGTCTGAGCTCCAGCATTTTCCAGAGCTCTTAGGAGACCTGACACTGGCGTGAGCTTTCTCACCTCATATACTATTCTACCATTTCCCACTGTCTACCGTGCAGTTTTTAGAGCTGTGTCAGTGTAATCTGGGAGGACTGAGGAAGCGTGAGCCTGCCTTCTTGGGCTCAGTCACTTTCTTAAACCAAAGGTTTCCCCACGTGAGACAAGTATTTCCCCTTTTATCATCAGTTTTTGTAACACCTCATATATGTATATATGTCCTTGAAATCCCACTATATAGTAGGGATACTCGTGGTATTAAATAGAAAAAGATCGATGTAAAAATAGTGTGATAAAGAGAGCAAAGATTTTCCACACCAGGTGTTGGTATGTTATCCACTTGCTCTGGGAGCAGGTCCAGAAGTATGCTCACCACGTGCTCTGTTTCTCACCACGCTTTGTGGCCACTGTCTTTTTACCATGATGTCGCATCATAAATAGGCCTCCTTTTAGGAGATTTTAAAACAGCAGGTTAGTTTGGTCAGCAGAAAATGCCTCTCCATGGAGGCGATTGTAGCTTCCTTTCAAGGTCACTGTTCTGAATTCACTGTTGATGATCGACATGTGCGTGGAACACAAAGATTAATCATGCTGTTCACCCAAGCCATTGAAAATCTGCCTCAGGATCCATACTCCAGGCACAGTAGACCTTTGACATGGAATCTAGTTTATTTTGGAATCAATAAATAACTTCAATTGTAGGTACTTATCCTGTTTAAGTGTGAAGGACTTCAAAGTATTAGTTCAGGAATTAAATTTAAGAGTTAAGGCATTTATGTTTTATGAAGGATGTGGTTCTGGAATTACAGAAAGCATCTTGAATAGTTAACTGCCCATTTTTAATGAATAATTTCCCACATTATTTGCATGTAATTTCCAAGTGTTAATCTCTTCGTTATTATTAAAAGTATTTTTGGAGTATGGCTTTCAGCATCTGGTCTGACGAGCTCCATTTGTGGGTGGGAAATGCCAAGCGTGTCATGTAGTAGAAGTAACAGCAGCGCTGGCAGGGTCTGGTTCCTAGTAGTAACCTCCTCACTTGGAGGCAGCAAGATGGTGCACTCTGTCCCTGTGGGTAAGACCCTCCCTGTTCTGGCCAGACCACACCCACGTGCTGTGGAGACGAGTTAGGTACAGGAGCAGGAGAGAGCATGGGGCTTTCCTCACATCTCCAAAAAGGCTGTTTCCCAAGCTATGAAATCTAGCCCCAGCTAAGAAGGAAAGAAGAGTGATGTGTAGACACTTGAGAAACTTGGTGAACGTGTACCCCCTCCCTAGAAACGTGCATATGTACATAACTTGCATACAGCTTCTGAGGGTTCACAGCCTCCAGCCCCATCACAGAACCTGGTTACTGTGGAGGTACAGTGACTTGGTGTAAAAAAGATTGCCTCGAGTCAGTTCTGCCCAAAGCTGGAGTGGCCTGCCTCGGTCCGTGAGTTTTCTCCCCGTGAAATACTGCAGAATCCAGAAATAGACCAAAGTGTCTTGGAACCAGGGCTGTTCAAACTGGGCTCTTCCGACTGAAGTGTCTCTCTCTCTTTTTTTTTTTTTTAAGATTTTATTAGAGAGAGAGAAAGCTCAAGTCAGGAGGAACAGAGGGAGAGGGACAGACTCCCCGCTGAGCACAGAGCCCAACATGGGGCTCAGTCTCATGACCCTGAGATCATAACCTGAGCCAAAATCAGGAGTCGGCCACTTAACTGAGCCATCCAGGTGCCCCTTGAAATGTCTCTTATTTCATATAATTGACAGTAAAACCAGTTTTTTTGTGTGTGTTTTAAGTCATGTGGCCAGTGAAAAAAGAGGAAAAATTGATCACGTGAATATGTATGTTTTTTCATAGCCACCAACAGCTAAAATGCATGCTATCATTGAGCGCACAGCCAATTTCGTGTGCAAACAGGGAGCACAGTTTGAAATAATGCTGAAAGCCAAGCAGGCCCGAAACTCTCAATTCGACTTTCTACGCTTTGATCACTACCTCAACCCCTACTACAAATTCATCCAGAAAGCCATGAAAGAAGGACGCTATACGGTGCTGGCGGAAAACAGAAACGAAGAGAAAAAGAGTATGTGAGACTGTGTGGACGCGGGGTCTGTGCTGGGCGGCCTCTGGGAGGGGATAAGCCTGCACGGCAGTATTTCCGGAATGTTTATGCTGTCACTAAGGCATGCTGATTAGATGGGGTAAAGCGCTTCTTGAGTAGATCTTGGAAATACACTAGATTCTTTTTTTTTTTCTTTTTTTTTTAAAGATTTTATTTATTTATTTGACAGAGAGAGAGACAACAAGAGAAAGAACACAAGCAGGGGGAGTGGGAGAGGGAGAAGCAGGCTTCCCGCCGAGCAGGGAGCCTAACGCGGGACTTGAGCCCAGGGATCATGACCTGAGCCGAAGGCAGACGCTCAACGACTGAGCCCCCCAGGCGCCCCAGAAATATACTAGATTCTTAATTAGTATTTACATAGATAGTGAAATGTAATTAAATATTGATTCTATCAGAACATAATCATCTGGTTTGGAAATTTTTCCTCTCGTTTTGGCTGTTTCACGTTTCCTGGAGAAAAGAGCAAATCTGCTTCCTGGGGTGGTCCCAGCCGTGCGCACAGAAATGGAGCGGTCAGCTTTACTCCCTTTTTTTATTCATCTCTACCATGATCTGTTGTTTTTATTAAATACCTAAATTGGGAATTCTTTCCACAAAGCCCAGTTAACTCTTTTGAAAAATGTGCAGGGACAGCAGTCTGTACATGTCTGCCATTGAATTTTTTCTCTTGAGCTGAAACACGATTTTCAGAATCATTTGTACAAACCTTGCTTACAGATCTCATTTTCTCCACAGTTTTTTAAAGTATCGGTTGCCGTTGTTCTACCTTTCATCAGTCAGGATTTTTGCCTTTTTTCTAGAAAATTAAAACGCGGTGGCTCCAGCCTAGTGAGCTCTGGACGGCCGTGCTGGCTGGGCCCGCGGCGCTCGCCTATCTCTGTCCCCTGCTTTCCACTGAGCAGTTGGGCAGTGGCGCTCCAGGGGCTGTTCCCCAGAGGCGCTCTCCAGCAGATAACTGCCGCTCGGTTACCAGCAGCCCTGTCTCCGTCTGCTGCTGCGTGCTCCCATCACGTACCTGTGCCCTGCCTCTCTGCACACACCCGAATCTTGAAACACGCTCTTGCCTTCCAGAGTCGGGGGTCAGCTCTGATGATGACGACGACGAAGGAGATGGGAGTTACCTGCACCCGTCTCTCTTTGCTTCCAAGAAGTGTGACCGCCTGGAGGAGCTGATGAAGGTTCTGATCTTCTGTATTTTTTATACTATAACAAAACTGCTGCTAGTCTAGTTTTGGGAAATCATGAAGCAGCCATTTCTTTTGTATCTTATCATCATCAAAGTCTGTTTTGCATTTTCATTGTTTGATTGGTGGCTCACTCTTATCGGTGGCAGTACAGTCCTGCCCACCCCTCCTTCCTTTCCCAAGTGGTTACTAGAGGATGGAAGCCATCTGTCCCCTCGCTTCCTCTGGGGCTCACGCATGGCCACAGTCAGGCCCTCTGTGTGTGCATGCCGAGGGTTTCCTGAAGCACGTCCGCCGAGCCCTTAAGTTGAGCCTTCTTTGGCCACAAAAGAGTCCTCCATGACTCAGGGTCCGGGAAATGGTGTGATCATGCATCCTCTCTGTCTGCAGCCTCTGAAGGTGGTGGACCCGGATCACCCCCTTGCCGTGCTGGTCCGTAAAGCCCAGGCCGACAGCCCCGCCCCCACCCCCCCCGCAGCAGATGGCACCGTGCAGCCCTCCCAGGTCGAGTACACCGCTGACTGTGAGTACCTCACTGTGCGCCTCCCGGCCTGCAGCCCACGTCTGGTGGAGGTGCTGGGAGGACTCAGTCACTCGGGTCTTAATGGTTAGCCATCCTCGGCACGTGGCCTCATCCTGTTGTGTGTCACCTAATGTTGACGAATGGCTGCTCCGTGTCCAGCATCAGCTCTGCCTTCCAGGAAGGATGAACAGAAGGGTAGGGGAGGAAAGCAGGTGCTCGGGGACTTTGCCCTTCTTTGAAGACCCCTGCTTCCCCCCGGCAAGAAGCCGTGCCTGGTGCCTCCCTTTGACCCGCACAGACAGGACGGTGTTGCATGGTCTCCCGGCCAGCAGGGGGGTCTGGAGTCCCAACAGGCCGCAGCCCTAACCGAAGTCGAAGCTCTGTTACGAAGCCCAAGGAGCGCAGACGCTGGTGGGCTTGCATTGTCTGCATGGTTGCTTTCCTGCAAAGGACACAGCTCAAGCTAGCGTGCGATGTGCGCCCTAGAGTCCCAGCTAGTTACAGTTCCCACCTGTTCGGGCTCCTTGCTAGCCTTTTGTCTTTTTAATTACCAGAAAATTATTAATGGAAGGCAAATCATGAGGTTCTATTCAAGTAATCATTTGAAAGTATTTGACCTCGGTCTCATTATCCGATCTTTTTAAAATTGCTCAGAAGTTCAGTGTTGAATAAGAGCAGAGGCTTTAGGATGGCTGCAGGGATTTGTTGTCCTTCACCTGCAGATCCGATCAGATGATCCATCCATAAAGCTCGTCGCCATTAGAGGGTGGAAGATCAGCGGAGATAATTCTCTTTTAAGACATAGGCTGCTCATTATTCGAGTGTCTGTCAGAAAGAGTAGCCAGGCCCCTCTGCGCCCCTCTCCCGGTGTGGCCCGTGGCAGCGTGTGACTCTGACATGCCGAAGTAACGTTTGCAGACTTTACAAGTCAGTGACTTGAGGGAATCCTGAAAAAGCTTCTTAAAGGACCTGGGGTTTGCAGTGCTCATGGCGGGGAGTGCTGTGTGGACAGCAGGGCCACACCGGTGAACGGGAGTCGGAGTGACCAGTAGAAATTGGCTGAGTAGAACGTCCCTCGGCTTCCTTGTTTTCCTTTTTCAGCCCTGTCATTGGATTTCTCCAAGTTAAACACCTTGTCCGTGTGCATCCACTAGATCCTGAAGCTATTGAACTGTCTTGCACGGAAGAGGAGAGGAAATTCGGGGGCAGGGTCACCATCACCCGATCATTCGCTCTGTTTATCATGGAGCTTGTATCGTTAAGCATCGAGGGCGGTGGCGGGCGGCGTGTCTGCAGCCCCCACGGCACTGGGGGGCGGGGGGGACGCCTGGCGTGCAGCAGGTCCAGTGTCTGCTCTGTGACTCAGGCTCCCTGCGGGCTCCCAGAGCCCCATTGATGGCGGTCCCTCGTTGGGCAAACAGCAGGTGCACCAGGTGTAACTCCCCGCCTGGACCGTGCCCACCTTCCCCCGGAAGTGCTCCGGCGGGGGGCGCCAGTTAGTGACCACGGCGCCTCCCAGAGTGTGAGCGTGACAGGCCGTCTGGGACTCGAGCCTGGTGTTACTGCCTCACAGCTCAGCTGTCTAAGCCAACAGAGATGAGAGAGTCCGTGCTGACAGGACCCGGGGCTGCTTACGCAGGGACCGCGGCTGTGCCAGAGGCAGGGACCAGGGTCCAGGTTATCCGGAGAAGCAAGAAATCTAAATTTAGGTGAAATATCTCAATTTACAAATGTCGGCAATGAGTTCATATTTTGTAAAAATACAAGGCAGTCCAAGAAAACAGTGGGCAAGTAGGTGCTGCTTGTAGGCATCCCTCTGCATCCAGTCTCCACTGTGCCTGTGGAAGGGGTCATGGGCGTGGGGGCAGTGGGCTGTCCCAGTGCTTCTCAGGAGACTGCTCAGCAGTGGTCAGTGCTGCCTAGAGGCTGGGGAGGTGGGCTGTGAGGTGTCCAGATTGCATGTAGCACCCTCGTTACCAGAAGCGAGAGCCGGTTCGTTGACATGGGGAGGACAGAAGCTGGACTGCAGTGGGGCGGGAAGCAGACAGGGTGTGGAAATGGACGCCTGAGCATGGGCCCTCTGAAGCTGGGCTGTGCAGAGGGAGAGGGGCCGTGCCTGGTGGGGAGCGAGTGTCCCGTGAGAGCCCCCCCGACAGCACCCGCCTCAGGGTCGCCACAGCAACCTCTTTCCGGGGTCTAAGGCTCGTGGGGTGAGGCAGGAGGCCTGGACAGTTAGACACACTGATCCAGTTTCTAGGAGGAGCCCTGGGCTTGAACTTGCCCAGTGCAAATACATGTGAGCACCTGTATTCAGGTTTTCAAAGATGTTTGTTTTCATCTGCGGGTAGATTCTGTGGTTACCTTTGGAAAAAAAAAAACAAAACCAAGAATATGGAAAATTTGAAAAGGAGGCACAGTGAGTCCTATCAGGTAGTAAGTGAAATGTTACAAGGGAAGACCTGTCGGGGCCTGAGGAGGTGGTGGTTTAAGCAAAGTCTGGGCTAAGAACAGACCTAGAAGTGGTACCGGCGGACCTGAAACATCTCGTACCGTGGACACGAGGTGTGCCATCGGCCAGTCGCGTGGGACTGCCCCCTCCGTTCCGGACGCTGTGCGGTGACCGGCCCCAGAGCAGAGTTTGGGTGGCGATCTGTGACTTGACAGCTCTCCGCCCAGTTCTCCCTGGTTCTGCACGGTCTTGTAAGCAGTTGGTCCTCCACCGATTTGCATAAATTCTAATTAAATGTGTAATTACAGTAGTTTCACTGGAAAAAACTGTTCCAGAGGAGAGCTGTGCCGTTCAAGCAAACAGGCCCAGCGAGCTGGAGAGGAGCCTCATGGCCCTGGCGTGCAGCGCACCAGGCTGGCAGCTTGCCCAGCACGCACAGCAGGGCCGCCGTCAGAGGGCGCGCGGACGAGAGCCCCGAGACGCACGACCGGAGCGGGTGGGGAAGGCACTGGGCAGCCTGCGGGGAGGGGAGTCCCCAGGGACGAGCCCTGTCTTTCACCCAGCAGCCTGGCGGCTTCCAGGTGGAGGTGCCGCGTGGACAGCTCAGCAAAGTGAGGAGACTTGGGCCGGTGAGGAATTCTGTCCTTTAAGCTGACAGATGACATTGGATTGCGCTAGTAGAAAAAGTAAAATTACAGAGGAAGCAGAAGCGTTTAACACACTCCAACAGCTTTTATAGTCAAATAGGGGGAAAAAGTGCAGCAGAAACACAGGCCGCAGCGTAATTCAGAAAGGTAAACGTGGCTGCGCAGTTTTCGTAAAGGCTTCCCCTCGCGGCTCCCCCGAGTGGCGTTGTACCTGCTGGCTTCAGAGCCCGAGGCCTGGACGGTGCGAGTCAGGGTCGCCCTTGCGCCAGACCGCAGCACACGCGTGCAGGATACAGGACCGCGGCGGTCGACAGGCCCGCCCTGGCCGGCACGCAAGAACACGAGAATTGCAAATCTTGGGTACAGTCAAGGCTTCTGGGCTGTTGAAAATGTCATTTCACGTTAACAAGCTTGAGTTCCTTTATAACGATAGAGATTGAAGAGGAGCCACTCCGGCGGGACCTGCGGTGCGATTTCCGTCCGTGCCGCGGGCGGAGGTGACAAGGGCGCGTGTGCAGGCGCGCTGGCCGCGTCCGTCAGACCTGAGGGTGCACGTGCCTGCAGTCCACACCCGCAGCTACAGGAGTACTCAGCACGAGCCAGATTTCTAGTGCTGGGGGGAGACCGAGATGCCCTGCGTGCCCTCGGGAGAGGACAAGGGGACAGCTGGCTGTGTGCAGGGGTGGGGCCGGGTGCGGAGGAGCAGGTGTAGGAGGAGGCCCTCAAGTCAGATTCAGACTCGGGGGGAAGCATCTCCCAACGGGTCAGGTGAGAGATGACCTGCGGAGTGGGGCTCCGCGGGGGGCCGCTCCGTCGCCGCGTGTCTGTGCCTCTTGGACCGTGGAGGTGACTGTCCCCTTCCCAGAAAAGCGCAAGAGGGATGGCATGTCTCTGTGAAACTGCTGCAGGGTCCTGAGGGAGCTCTGGCAGGCCTGTGACGTTAACACGCAGTTTCAAGACCATCTGTCTGCTCCCCGCCGGAGCCTGGCGCCGCTGGGGCTCGTCAGAGCCAGGGTTACCCAGCCTTTCCCACTCTTTCTATTAGTGCGTGGTTAGGGATCACCTCGGGCCATTCCTTGTGATTGACTTCTTGCTGATGAGAGATTTTCCTGGATAGAGGCAGCCTCCGAAGAAAAGCGTCTGTTTTTATTTTGAAAGAATTTTTTTAAAAGATCCTTAAATACAGATGTGTAAAACTAACAATTTCTTCCTTTTATTAGCTTGACAGTGATTTTCTGTTACTTGGTTGTTTCCTGCTATTTAGTTGTAAATCTTCGTCGAAGAGGGTCATAAATACAGTTAATTATGCAGGAAACAGTAATACTGAAAGAAGTACTGTTCACTGGTATAGCAGGCAGGTTTTTAAAACTAAAACACCAACCCAGTTTTTTTAAATGTTTCTTTCTATAAATAGCTGAAGTGAAATTAAACCGTACCGTGTGGCTAGACTAGATTATTTTCTTGCTTCTGCTGTTTTTTTTTTAAGTGTGATTTTGCTGCTGTTGTTCATGGCATTTCTTTTTTTCTGCAAAATCATGATCTTGAAGTGCTTTACTTACTTTCTAAACCCTTTTTTTAAAAAATTCCTTTATTGTAAGTGAAGAGAAATAGAAGCAAGAAAGTAAAAATAGTACCCAAGATTCCACCGCCCAGAAATAGACATTTTTATCCTGAGGGGAGCATCCCTGATGCAGTGGGAAACCCTGACAGAAGTGGGGGGAGGGCGGGAAGCTCCCGGCTGGGGATACAAAGATGGGCTTTGTGCGGAACAGGGATTAGAAAGTTGGACGTACAGATAGAAATATTGTGTTAAAGCGGAAGTAAGCTTTTTTAATTTTATTCCAATTTAACAGAAGAACCTATAATCAAAAATCAAAGTAAAGTAATTGCTGATCTTCAGATCA